ATCTGAGGGCATATCGAATCTGTAAATATCTTTTTGGAAGAGATTTGAGATGTTTTTTTGAATAAAACAAGAGGTGTGATTTGCGATGAGGGTATAACCAGATCTGTCATTCCCTTTTTTGAGAAGATCTGACGGTGTAAACTGATCTCAACTATTCATTAGTTCTTGGGGTGAAACCATATCTCAACCACAATAGAAAATGTCTTTACAAACTTCAAATATGGAATAATTTGAACTCCAAATTACAACAGTTAAATTTGATGGCACAAATTATTTAGAATGGGTCAGGTCAGAAAGAAAAAATTGGGATATATTGAAGGCTGAGTAGAAAAGCCAGATCTCAAGGATCTAAATATGTTGATTTGGAAGCCGATAATATGGGAATTACGAATTGGTTATTGTACTCTATGCAACCCAATTTAAGTCGAACTTTTATGAACTGCAATACCTCGAAGGAATATGGGATGCAGTTTATGAGGCTTATTCCCAAAAGAAAAATATTGCAAAGATCAATGAGCTGGAGAAACAAAACAGTAGTTGCAAGTCTTGTCAATGGGTGATTATTATGCTAATCTTCGTAGTTTTTGGAAGGAAATGAGCTATTATCAGCCCATATAGTGCTGATCTTGTGCAAAGTAACAAAGGGAGAGATTAGAACAGGGAAGGTTTTGATCTTCTTAGAGGAGTTAATGGAGAATATGAATCAATTAAAGAAAATGTTCTAGGTGGCGAGACTTTATCATCACTTTTGAAATTGTTCTTTGATTGAACATGAGGAAGCTTCCTGCAACTTGATGGCGGTGCCTATAGGCGAAACAAACCCTATTCTCAAATTCAAGTGGTTATCAAGGTGGAGGATATTTCGGGAGTTGAGGTGGAGGCCGTGGTGGTGGATGTGGTCGTGGAGTCCCCACATTTGATGAGAAGGACAAGTTAAAAGTCCACCCACTATGGGAAGACTAGACACATGGGATACATGTTTAGATCCTGATTGAACACCCTAGATGTAATGTTTCTCGAGAAAATTCGGTAACAATTGGTGTAAGTATTGCTCCTGCTGTGCACGGGTAGCAAGATGCTGCTGCCTTTGAACTTAGAGTAGGGTTGAGGACTATTTCTAAAAGATGGCTTCTTGATCTCAAGCGGCAAGATTCCATTCGAGACCCTCTTTCCTCTAAATCCCATGTTACCGAAACAAGTATATCTAGATCAACTCATCATGCCTCTAGAAATTCATCTAAAAACCCCTTGAATTGTTGACTTTGGGGCTATTGAGCATGTGATTGGTATGACTAATCTTTTTTCTTCTTATATACCTTGTTTTAATTAAGAATCTTGTTGAATTGCAGATGGTTCTCTTATTCCAATCAAAGGGAAGGAAACCATTTTGTCACCCTTTCTGTTGATATGTCCTCCACCTTACATGTTCCCAATATTTCTAGTAACCTCCTGTCACTTAGTAATCTCGTAAAATCTTTAAACTGCAATGAAACCTTTATTCATTTTTCCCCTCTTATTGTGCTTCCAGAACTTGATGACGGGGAAGACATTTGGGTGTGGTCATGAGGATGGAGGGTTGTACCTTTTGGAGACTCCTGATCATGCCTTGGCTGCAGCCACATCTTCCATTGCTAATGAAGAAAGGGTGTATTTGTGGCACACTTATCTTAATCATATGTTCTCTTTACATTGTGTTTGTGTTTTTTATTTCCTATCATATTTGAATCTCTAAGTCGAGTACAATTTCAATGTGATATTTGTGAGTTGTCCAAACATTTTCGAGTTGCTAATCTTTGCTAATCTATTTCGAGCTGTCCAAACATTTTCGAGTTGTCCAAACATACTTGTGTCTCTAAGTTAAGAACCATTTTCAAACTTCATGAAACACAAAGATGAAGATGCTAATCTATTTCAAGTTTATCACAAAATGGTTAACACTTAATATGATGCACAAATTAAAGTTTTACATTCTGACAATGGGGGTGAGTAGGTGTCTAACTAACTTAGAGATTATCTTGTTGATCAAGGGATTGAGCTCCAAATAATGTGTCTGTATACCACCCCAACAAAATAATATTGCTGAGAGGAAAAATAGGCACTTGGTGGAAGTCACCTGAGCTCTCTTGCTAGCAATGGAGGTTCCAAATATTTTCTAGTCTAAAGCGGTTCTCAATGCTGCATTTTTAATAAATCGCATGCTATCTTGTGTTCTTAAGGACAAATCTTCTGCTGAAATTATTTATCCAAACTCTCCCCTATTTCTTGTACCCCGCAAGGAGTTTGATTGCGTATGTTTTGTCCACATTCTTGGTCCAAAGAGGGACAAGCTTGATGCTAAAGTTGTCAAATGTGTTTTCCTTGGATATCCATCTCATACAAAATAGGATTCAAGTATTATGATCTTATTAACAAAGTCTATTATGTGTCCATGGATGTTACTTGCTTTGAATTTATTCTGTACTTCTCATCTACTTTTCATGAGTTCTCTCTTCAGGGGGGAGAATAAGGTACATTTCAGTGAAGAGAGTACATATGTGGTTCCCCTTCCTGTGTTCCTATACCTGTTCTATCGAAAGAGAATGGGGGACCTGAAAAGAATGGTGTAAACCCTGAGAGGGAGCTAAAGACGTATATCAGGAGATAGAGGATGGTATAACCTGAAGTTCACCGTGATTATACCCCAAATTCTAACCAGAATCAAGAAATGGTCATGACTCAAGTAATTATTTCACTTTCTTTGAGAGTTCTAATGTGGACTTACCCATGGCTTTGTGCAAGGGTAGGATTTATGTACTCAGCATGCTATTAGGAACTGTGTATCTTATAATTCTCTGTCTTCTTCTTATTGTGCCTTCATATCAACCATGCTTTTTTACGATTACCTTCCTGTATTGCAAAAGCCCTTTCACAATCTCAATACACAGCTGCCATGGGTGATGAGATGCAAGCACTTGTACAAAATAATACATGAGAAGTCACAAACCTTCTTAAGGGAAGAAGATTGAGCAAAATAAACATGGGCTTCACTCAGACTCTTGGTATAGACTACTAAGAAACATTTGCTCATGTGACCAAGTTGAACACAGTGAGGATCATTCTTTTTGTAGTTGCTAATAAATCTTGGCTGCTCCACCATCTATATGTAAATATTCCTTTCTTGTGCAGAGAAATCCAGGAAGAAATCTATATGACCATGCCCTCAAGTTTTCAGATTAAGGGGTAGACAGGAAACATGTGCAAGTTAAAAGAAGGCGATTTATGGACTTTAACAATCTCCTAGAGCATGGTGTGAAAAATTCAATTAGGTACTGTTGATATTTGGGTTTAGAAGAGGTCAAGCTGATTGTATGCTCTTTATAAAGAAGAATAGTGTTGGGATTACAACCCTGATGGTGTATGTTGATATTTTGTTGTGGCATATGACAATGTGAAGGATATTGAGGACCTTAAATCTTATCTTACGATGGTGTTCGTTATGTAAGATTTAGGCCCTCTTAAGTGTGTTTTGGGAATTGAAGTAGAAAGATCAAAGGCAGGAATAGCCATCTCCTAGAAATAATGTCTTGGACTTATTACAACAAATTGGGATGTTAGGAGCTAGACCAATTGATACTCCTATAGAAGTCAAGTATAAACGTCATGGAGAAAGGGGAGAGCTATTTGAAAATCCCAACCAGTATCAAATAATGGTGCATAACCTCATATACCTCATGATCACACGACCTGGCATCTCTTTCGCGGTTAGTGTGGTCAGCCTATTCATCCATGCTCCACGTAAACCACATCTTGCGACAGTGTATCGGATACTGAGATATCTCGAGTTTGATCCAGAGAGGGGTATTTTTCTCCAATCAAGGGCATTATGATATTTCTATGTACATTGATGTTGATTGGGCTGGATGCCAAACTAATAGGAGATCCACAACTGGCTATTGCACCTTTCTTTTAGGAAATTTGGTCTCTTGGAAAAGTAAGAATAAAATGTAGTGATAAGATCAAGTGTGGAAGCTAAACAAGGGCTATGGCTTATGGTACTTGTGAAATAATGTAGTTAAACAATGTTGTATTTGATTTGGGGGATAAGGTCTGGCTAAGCTTCCCATAAGCTTCCCATGAATTTGTATTATGACAATGAAGCTGCCATTCATGTCTCTGAGAATCTTGTATTTCATGAAAACACTAAACACATTGAAGTAGATTGTCACTTCATTAGAGAGAAGGTTGCTGCCAAGACCATTCATACTCCTCATGTGAAGTCTAAAGATATTGTAGATATTTTCACTAAAGCTATTGGACATGATAGACTATGAGATATCACAAGCATGCTAGCCGTGATTGATATCTATGCCAAGATCATTCATGCTCCTCATGTGAAGTCTAATGATCAACTTCCTGATATCTTCACTAAAGCCGTTGGACGGGAAAGACTAAGAGATATCAGAACTAAGTTGGGTATGAGATATCTATGCACCAGCTCAAAAGGAAGTGTTGGAAATAATTAATTATTGTTATGTTTGAGGGCATGAATGTAATTTATTTATTTTAGGACTTATATGTCTATTTCACTTCTCATAAGTCATGGGAAATATTGTAATTGATACACTTTAGTAAAAGGAGTGCGTGATGGTCATTCAAACCATCACACCACCCTCTCTTTCTCCTCTCTTGTCTCTTTGTCTCTTCCTCACACCACTTTCTCTCTCTCTCTTCTTCTCGTCCTTCTTCCTCCTCTTTCCCTCTCCTACTATTCTCTAATAACTTCTTTTCACTTTCCTTCTCTTCTCTTCTTTGATTGATATGCCCTTTATTATTTTCAACTCTTCAGTCTGTCCATTCGTCTGTAGATGATAGGCATAACTGTAAATGGATGATTCGCTAGTGGATCACTGTCCATCCGTCTGTGGATGATAAGGCTTGGATGATGATGATGATGATGATCTTGCATTTATCTGTAAATGGAATTTATGGATTACTTATGCAGCTTTTGCCTAATTTTGTAGGAAAATGTTGGTACCTCTACCGCCACCTCTGGGACTCATATATTTGGGGAAGACCTACTTAATATTTTCTGTATTCTGCTTTGTTGCTATGTCGAATGGTGTTAGCTTGACAGATGGCCTTGATGGCCTGGCTGGAGGAGCTGCTGCTTTTGCATTTGTAGCGTTATCTGTTGCTATTCTCCCATTATGTTCTGGTTAGTAAGTCCTGATCTTAATCATGCATTTAAGTCTGGACCAAGCCTAATAGTTGAATATGTATTTTTCTGCTAGTTTTAATTCAATCAATTATGGAGTTGTCAATGTTATTAATTAAAGTTTTAAGTACTAATTTTATTGCTATTTTGATAAGGTGGGCATTGTTTATTTAATAGAAATTATTTGAGCCTTGGTTTTGTCCTTAAAGAGTTGATAATTTTGCTGCGTTGCACCACACATATTCTAGTAGTTTGCTGGTGTTACAACTGATCTTTTGTGCAAACCCAAACATAATTGCTTAGTCGACCACATGGTATCTCTACCTTCTAGTGCAAAGGATGGTCTATGTTGCTACTTCTATTGGAACGGCTATCTTTCTATTTAAAATGGATGGAATCCCTTTTATCTACATGCCTATAACTGATTAAAAAGGAGTTAACCAGAAATAGGGTTGAGGTCAGCTACCGATCTCGATTTCCATTCCTACCAATGCTAACCCCTTTCGAAAACTACTAACGGTTTTAAAAAAAATTGCTAACCCACTACTTACAGTTAATGTTCAAAAAAAAAAAAACGGAAAGTTACTTGGTGCTTGCACTCCCCAAAATCTAGTTCCTCAGTTTAAGAGTAGGAGCGCGTTCCCATTCTCTTGGGAGCAAGTTCTCCGTCCTTTGCACCTCTTTCCGCTATTATTTCCAAGGAAAAGCCCCTTCTCTCCTTTGGCAGTCTCCATTTTGGGACCCATAAAATGGATCATAAGGTAAGTGTTGGATTTTCAAGAAGGGGGAATTTTAAACCGGCGTTCCAAAAAATGCCACGAGGCGCTTAGGCAGCCATGGGGGTCCTAGCTGCCTAGCACCTAGGTAGGCACCCAGGGACCTGGGTAGCTCAGGTTCAACATGGGGGCAGCGGGTTATCCAAAGAATCTTGTTTTAGGTCCAAATTTTGTGCAAAAGATGCATATTCCGGCATTTTTATCATTTTTATGTGGAATCATGCCAAATCGAAAGATACTACCAAAAATACACAATCCATAACAAATTAACCTAACCATAAGTCATACCCATCCATAACCTTAATCCATAGTTCCATGGCATTCCATTCTATAGTTCCATATGCATGATTCATAATCCATAGTGACCAAACCAAAGTAAATCCATACACTCCATAGACTCACTCCATATTCCATAAATATAAAGCATAGTACCATACTGCCATATACATCTAACAAAAATATGAGTATATGACACTGACACATTAACAAATCATAAAATATTAAAATCCCATAATCTAGACCGTAGTACTAGCACAACACCAAAAATACAAAACAGTCACAATCCATGATCCATTTCCATAGTCCAAACCATCCCATAATCCATAAAATAAGAGGAGGAACTAAGAAAATAAATCTAGACTTGAAGGCTCAAGAGTTTGCAGTCATCATTGGAAAAACTAGGGGCAGCTTCATCATTAGAATCAGAGTCAACTCCATCATCACAAGAGTAATCTCCCTCTTCAACGTAACACTTATCCTCCATTTCTTTTGAATCTGCCTCCACTTCCTCCATCCCCCTCCTTCCTTGTGAAGATGATCCAGTGGCCCTAGGAGGTCGGTTGCTTTACGTGATGCCTTTGAATCCCATGTCAATCCTTCACACCCTTCGACTTCATCCACTTCAACTAATAACTCCATGGCATTATCCATGTTCTTCGATTAAAGGGGGTCTCACTTATCATGCTTAGCAAATATTCCTTTTTTCTTTTCCTTGTATGAACTTTTATGAAAGCACACGCATATAAAATGTTAATATGGTAAGTTAATAATTAGTAATTAGTATATACTAATAATTTAATTATTTACATTATTTATCAATAACATAAAAAAATAATTTAATTATTAAAATTTTCAGTACTTAATAAAGTAAATAAGGTAAAGTAACAAAGTTATATTCATTAAACAAAAGTAACATGCCATTTCAGAAGTATTTAATGCTACAACTAGACAAGCCAGTGGTTGGGTTCAAGATCCGAATATCCATCTTTTGTAAGTTTGGAGCGCTACACCTATGCTAGCTTCACCAACGGGCTGCAAAGTGACTGTGATCTCTGGAGTTAATATGAATTAATTTTGAACTATGATATGTGAATTATGAGTTAATGAGTAATGAAATGAAACGTCAAACATGAAATATGAAATTAAAAAGTTGAAACTGGAAAGATAAGTAAGTAATTGAAGCAAATACAAATTTAAATATATTACTTGGGTCAACTTTGGTCCTTTGCCTCACTGCCATGCCATTGTTAAATGACTTTAATCCACACTTGTATAAGACTATTTCCTCTACACGTAGCTAATCCTGGATTTCTTGACTGGGAACGATCCTCTCAAGACAATGATTAAATTCAGTCCTAGTTGTGTCATTTGTCTGAATTTCCTGGTTAGCGCAAAAAAAGCTGGGTTCAAATAATACCCAATTGCATGCAATGGTTGGTTAGACTTCCTATCCCACTTCACTTCTCATCAATAATCTCCCAAATTGGCTTATAGAGGCTCGCATCATTGCCCAAATTCTCATCTATTTGTCTCTTGCAACTTTTTATTGCCTCATACGTGTAGCCCATAGAGGGTTTTTCATTGTTAGCCATGCACAAGACATTGACTAAAGGAAAAAAAATGCCTTAAGAGCATAGTTGGCCCCACTCCAAAAATTCCTAAATAGGATAGTATCTTGTGCCTTCTTTCCTTTTTGACGCCTGGCCCACTTGCATCTTGTCCAATCCTTAGAAGTGAATATCTGTGTTAAATGGTTTCTACTCCTATATATGCTATGCAAACACAAGAACCAGGTTGCAAATCTTGTGACCCTAGCCTCACTATCTCCTTCTTTTTGGTAAACTTGCACATCATGCTAAGGGTGAGAGTGTGACTATAGATGAAGGCTGTAACTAACCTAGCCTTACTATCTATGCATTCAATCTTGGACATATTGTCAATAGCCTAAAGCGTGAGGTCTATGCAGTGGGTTGTGGATGGTGTGCAAAAGAACGAGGGTAATTCTGATGTAACAAAGTAGAAGCAGCTACGTTAAAAGCAACATTGTCTATGACTACCTGAATAGTATGGTGCTCCCCAACCTCCTTAATACCCATCTAAATCACATAATATATTTACATATGTATGGAGCATCATGGGCAACATCAGGGCATCAATATATCTCAAAAAAGTTGTCCCCAAAGGACAGTTGATCAAAAAACTTCATTCGACTCTTCCTTATCCTATATCTCCTATATCTCTAAGTGTCCATCATAATAGATGCCCCATATTGAGCCCATGCCTCCTTATGTGTGTCGACGAACTACTTCGTGAGTTACACCTTCTTTTCAAAAGAGGCTTTGAAAGCTTATATGGGGTTGGGAGCCTCAAACGAGGCCCTAATTGGCCAATTGCTTCCACCATGGTGTAGAAGCAGTTTAGCCGAGCAGCATTGAATGGAATGCTCGCCTGATACATCCATCGAGCATTGTACTAATTTACTCAACTCCTCGCATCCTTCTTGATCGATTTTCAATTGTGGTTTACTTCTTTGTTTTCTCAATTGTAACCTCAGGTTAGGCTGAAAAGAAAAATCCATAGGCCCCCGAGGCTTCTTTGGCCAAACCGAATTGCATCTCTTTTTCCTCTCCTTGTTTGGGCCAAAGCCACCTGATCCACCTCAACATCTCCCTAATCCTCATTCTCATATCATTAAATACACAAACCCCAGCCCTTATATCAGCTATGCAAGTCTACTTTTCTGCCTTTTTTGTTTTACCTAATTCAAATATTGTTTATCTCCTCCCTAATAGCTTCAGGAACCTTCTTACAAGGGGCAACATCCCACCTAATACCGACAAGATTTTTTTGAACCAACCCCCATTAATACTTTTTTCACAATAATAACACCTTATACAATATTTATCCTTCGCATTCAGGTTATAATCATATTTCTAATCCCGATCACTACTAGTAGAATCCATTAACAAAAAAAATCTCAAGTACGAGATCTTTTACTAACCTATGCTGATCGTCAATTTTTAATGTTTGAGATGTTTGCCAATGTCAAAAGCTTACTAATAACCCAACCTCCAATAAGCTTCCTAAATGGATAAAATTGAATCCAAAACAAAAGGATGATGTTTGGATAATAACCTTTTTACATCATTATTAGGGGGGGAAAATTACGGGAAATGCTCCTACCAAAAGGGCATTTTCACCCTTGCGTGGTTGCAGTTCTTGGGTGCCCGCCTAGGGCTAGGCTCTGCGCATGCGCCAGGGTTACCTAGAAGGCTTGCCTAGGCTTGGGCGAGGTGCCTAGCCTCCTTAGCTCACCTAGGCACCAGCGTAGCCTCTAGGTGAGCCGCATTTTGAAACATTGTTGTAAATGAAGCTTCAAAGAGAACTAGAGCATCAAAGTTCTTATTTCTGAAATAAATTTTTATATAGATCCCCCTCACAGTGGATCATTTCATAAAAAAGCCGCCATTTATATTCATTTCACACGGCATAATATATTTGAATGAGGATTTTATGAATCCCCTTCCGTACAGGTTCTCCCCTTTCCTCATTTATTTCGCCCCACACATGCCCTCCTCATTAACCTATTTCTATCGGCATCTATAGACCAGACCTTTGTCAATTCTCACACACTCTTTCAGGACTCTCTAAAATATTGGCACTCCTCTCTCTTTTTCCTCTCATCCTCTCATGCTCTCCCCTCTCTCTAGAACCCTAACCCTCTCTCTCTGAAAACATCAATTTTTTTCTCTCTAATTAGAAGCTTGGGATGGCAAATGGTTCGAAGCTTGCAAAGGCATTAGACCTGACCCTTTTACTTGTAACTTAGCTCTTGAGATCATCATGAGCGAACTAGACAATACTCTATGGAAATTATTTCCTGAACATGGAGAGCAAAATATCAGTATAGCAATGAACAAAAATTTGGCCGCCTTGCTGCCTAGT